ATCATGCTCACTGTTGGCATATTAGCCATCTATCGATGAATTTGTAAGGTAGCAGATGTAGGGTCATAATCTGTTTATTGCTAGTTTCTTGCTAATTAATAGTTAACATCAATTGTTTAGATATTCTCGAAGCTACTTTAATAAATTTTAAGTAAATGAATGCGTCACGTATCTATATTTGCCTATTCAGTTACAGTGCAACTGCCAATTTAATAAAGTATCTAGTATTTACTTTGTTGTAGACATCTTTACTTGTATTTTAAAATAGATTAAATTCTGTTGTGTACTAAAAGCAACAAAAAAGAATATAAAGGAAATAAAGGAAAGGAGAGAATTTGTTGATTACAAAAATCAAACTAGAAATAAATAAATAAAATAAATAAGAAATAGATTTTATTTTGTTACAAAAACAAAATTAAAATTGATTTAATAAATAAATAAAACAGAATAATAAATTAAAACAACTTACTGATTTAATTTCTTCTAATTATATCTGATTAGTCCAGTGTTAGACACGGTTGTCTTTAAGACAAGATTCGTCCTTTCCACGGTGCTTTCAGAAAATTGGACGTCTATCTCCAGAGGAAATGGACTACTACAAACAGTAGCAGCACTACAAATTGTTTGCTTTACGAACACACTAAGGTTTACACTCTTCTTATAAGAAATAATGCAACAAAAATGAAGAATAAATTTGCAGAGCTCTGAAGGACGAAAATTATATATCTGATAACAAATGAGGCTTGTGGTTGTTGTTTTGAATTAAACAGGATGCAGAAACCTGTTGAACAGTATGATAACCTGTTCAGTTTGAATAAACAGATTACAAAGTCTGTGGCGTTTTCAAATTTTGAACAGATAAAAACGGTAAGGGCTCTGTTTGGGTGGTACTGAGAATAACCGGGACCGAGTGTTTTTCCGAATTAATTTAAATTATGGATTTTATGGGGTTCAAAAAATAAAAATTTAATTCAAATGTTTTTGACCCAAAAAGATTAGTATTGGCCGAACTAAAGCCCAACCCAACCACACACCACGCTCCCGCGCCCAAGCCCAGCCCGCCCTGACCGGATGGCGGCGCGGCGTGTGGTGATTTTTGGTCCAATGATCTAGCCCATTTGCCCATAATACTCCCTCTCTAAAACACTTGGGTACCCCTGGGGCGCACCCAAGTTCCAATCCCATGCCTTAATAAACCTATAAAAACTTCCCATCAAATCAAATGTGGGACAAGTCTTATTCAATACCTTTAAGGATTTTTTTACAAAACTCCATTTCCATGGAGCACACTTGACTTTCAATTCCCATCACTCGTAATGGTTTTGAGCAACCAAATTATACCACATAAATCACAACGTGGCATAAAACGCTGGTTACCACTTTGACCGCGAAAATCGACGCTCGGGCCCACCTAAAAATAGGACCAAACTTAGGAAAAATCTGTTTTACCCAGAATTTTTTAACCATTTTCCAACACTTTTTTTGAAAACTTAAGTTTCTTCTGGCTTAAAGTAATGTGAACACCAAAATCTCGTCTGAATTCTCTGGAATTGTAATTTGAATACATCCTTTTGTCGTTTTTGAAATTTCAATATCTTTCTTTGCAGATTATATTGTTGTGTTCAGCACTATATATTTGTGTTGCAGCAGCTGATCCTGCTGATCCCGGAGTCTTCAATCGAAAAAAGTATCTTAAGATTCCTGACAGCCAAAAAAGCATGCTTCGGCTCGAGGAATCAAACTAGTGGGGAGATCAACTTCATCGATACAGGATGCAACTGGTGCCTACAACAATTTGGGTGGGAAATCTTTGGATAAAAACACAAAGGATATGGATACTCAACAGCAGAAGATTATGCTAATGAAATGAGACTAAAAAATGCATCATCACAATATCCATCTGGTTTTATGGCTCTGTTCGCCTTTTCTTTCCTTGTGCTTTTTTATGTGCAAACTGCTCAGAAGCCCACATGAGAATCTTCGAGCAACAACTGAGTGAAGATGGCATGTTCTACTGCCAGTATTGTGTGAAGTAGAGGTGCTGAGATCCATCTGCATGATGTTTAGATGGCTTCAAATTGTTGTGTGGTGAAAGCTTTATTGTTGTGTCATGAGGAGAGCTCTCTGCCTAAAGTCCTTGTAATCATTGTCATTCAAACCGTGGCATTCCACTAGCTAAATGTGCACGTCCATGGTGTCACTACTGAAGTTCCTTCCAAACTGTAGTCTGGTTGTTGCAGGACCAATCAATCCTGCTTTACATGTCCTCCATGGCACACTGTTCTGTGCAGGTTTTTCAAGATACAGCAAGCAGTTGTAGAGTTTGTGATAAATGCGTAGACCGATTATCACACTGCAGCGGTATTTCTGTGCCTTTGGTGTGAATTTTCTTTCTTTCTTTCTTTCTTTCTTCTTTTATTTTATTTCATTTTATATAATCAAACTCTTATGCATTTTCTTTTCTGGTTTTAGTGCCTCAACAATTGTATAGGCAGAAGGAAACTACCGGCAATTTTTTACTCTCATGGTTTCTGCCCTTGTCTTGTAAGCATGGGTCTCCATCCCTTGCTTGGAAACCAGCAATGCACCAACATCCTTCTAATATCTTCCCATGGTGTCCAGCTTGTCCAAACTTCTTTAATCCAAAAAAAAGCTCGACTCTCTCAAGTCTCTGTTGCAAATCTTTCCAAATTTCCGATCTTTATCTAGAATTCTGAATACTTGCGACTTTTTAGGCTGTCTATCTGTGAATGAGCTCTGTGACCTCGTGAAGCTCTCAGAAAAAAAAAAAAAAAACGAAAGACTTTTTTATTTTTAATGAACCTTTTAGAAGATTTTTTTCAATTTTTTGTTTTGTTTGCCTGTTTGTTTTTTTTTATATATATAATTTTGTTCAACACAAAAACAAACAAAAAAAAAACCAAAAAAAACTAATCTGTTGTTTTCAGTATATTTCATCATCAACAATCATCAACAACTTACAAAAACAAAAAAATCTGAAATTGTTCATTATACACACACACACATATATCATCATCATCAACAACTTTAAAATTAAAAAAAATAAAAAAAGATCTGAAATTGTTCATTACACACACACATATATGTATCTATCATCATCATCACACATATATAGATCTGAGTTATTCTCACAGATCAACTGGCGCACCGGCCGGCTCAAGTTGTATGTTGTCGTCTAGGTCAAATCGAAATCCAAATCATCCACCGGAGCTACAGCGGAGGCCAGACAGAGGCAGCGTTGCGACGGAGAAGGCAATGAGTGATGTCGAAATCTGCAGCGGAGGACGGGCAATGTGCTACGGCCACTATTTCAGCGGATGTGAGAGTGAGGTGGCGGCATTGGGGAGTCAAAGAGGAAGCCATGGCAGTGGAGGCGGCGGTGTGGAGGATTGGCGAATCTGTTCAGATCTGTTTAGATCTGTTCTAGATGATGATGATGATAAGTGACAGAATGAGAGAGATATCTGAGTGAGGGCGAGAGAGATGAGAGATGAGAGATGAGAGACGCGGTCTGAGGCAAAGAGAAGGGTATATATATATATATAAAGGGGTAAAATAGTAATTTCACATCGGGGACAAACGGGGATAGGGACAGGGACGGGTACGAGGCTAGAACACTTATCTCCGTCCCCGGTCCGAAACTGATTGGGGATTGATTTTTGAATACCATCCCCTCCCCGTTGGGGATATTTTTCGGGGAAAACCGCTCAAATCAGGGTCGGGGGATTGGGTCCCTGTCGGGCCGAGTTCAAATTGCCATCCCTAGACTAAGCTATAGCTTATTGCAGGAAAAAAGAAACATACATTCCAACACCGTGTTAAGAAAGAAAATCGAACAGAACATTGCACAGATGCAGCTGCAATAAAGGACATTATGCAGTGCTGCTTGTTCCCAATCAATTTAGGATGCTGAGATGAGGGAATGACAAACTACAGTTGTTGTGTACAAGCACAAGCTACAAATGTCAGTCTGCTCTGTTGGATCACTGTTTCATTAACATACTGCTACTAAGTCCAAACAATTATGCTTGCCAATGCTTCAAAATTGATGGACAAGAATTAATTCCTACTGCAATTATCTCCCTAGTTCAATCAATTCTTTGTTTCTTCTATTTATTTATTATTTTTTAATAATATAGGGCCTTGCTAATGACAGTTATTAGTGCTGTTAGATAAAGGGGGAAGGGGAAAAAAAATTCTTCTACAAAACATCCTAACATTCACCGAATAGAAACACTTTTAGCTACTGTGAAGAAACAGCTAGTGTTTACCAAATTGTGCAAACCCATAACACAATTCAAATTGATCTATTTAATTTTTTTTATTAAGCATAACAACAAGGAGCAGGAAAAACTATTAACAGGAAAGTCCATTCTCTGTATGGATAAATATTCAGAAAATAACAACAATATTTGGTCCATCATTGGGTTCAATTGAGCTATCCCACCAAGATCTCATTCAAATTTTCTCTCAGTGGTTTTTAAAAATGAGCAGGGAGATTGCAAAACTTTCCAATGTCTTGAAGCAATGCGTGACAAAGAGAAGTATACAACAGTGGAGGCCCCCAACCAAAGCATATATATACCTTTGTGAAAACAATCCCAACAATGTGAAAGATCAAAATGAAATATAGGGTGTGCGAAATTAGTGGCTACTAAGTTGTGCAACAAGAAAGCTAAAAACAAGCAAACATTTGCCCTATTCAGCAAAAATTGAAGGTTTATGATATAATAGAAAGAATCTCTAGAGAGAGTTTATCCAAAGAAAAAAAATAATTTAAAAAAAAAAGGGAAAAAAAGAAAGAAAGAAACAGAAACGGAAAGGAGCCCATTTGGGGAAAAACTCAGAGGTTTAGAACCAAACTCATAAATCAGAAACCAACAGGCAGAGAAAACACAGATCTCAGCACTTTTCCCACTATACAAACATAACAAGCATATAAAAAACAAAAATAAATAAATAAATGTGAAATGGCATACAAGAGGAGTGTAGAGGCCGATTGCAATATACTGGAACAATTTTTTCCCAACAAAAGGAGCAAAGAATACATAGAAAGCAAACCCCAATGCCACAAACACAGCAACAGCTACCACCTGCAGATACAGATATGAATACCCAGAAGAAAAATTTAAATAAAATCAAAGAAAGATATAAATATATAGATACAGAGAGAGAGAGAGAGAGAGAGAGAGAGACCTGGAGGGGATGGTAAGGGAGCTGCCATCCATGCTTCCTCATTTTCTGAGAGTGTTGCAACCAAAATAATAGCAAGAAAATGGCTGGGGCAAGAAGAGGAAAAGGAATAAATTGGGTCACTGTCCTTTCTAAAATTTAATTTAATTTTGTCTCACTTTCCCACATTTTCAGGGAAAATTTGAGAAAAAAACATCAAAATGAAAGAGCTTAAGAGGAGGGGGGAAGAAAGATATGACTGGTAGTGGGCCACCCAGTGGGTTGTGTGCCCTTGTGGAGAGAAGGAAGAGGAGAGATGGGGACAATGTTTAGGAAGCTTTGTCTGCTTCACTCAATCATAACCCACCCAGCCCATGTCATGGAAGGTAGTGATGAGACAGAGAGGGAGAGAGAAAGAAGGGATTTTGGGGTTGAAATGAATTGGTTTTTTTCTTGTTTCTTGTAAAACCTTTTACAGAGGGAAGAAAATCTGGGTTCGTTTGGTTTGGATTTCTGAAAAAAATTTGAGAAATTTTCTCTACAAATAAGTTTTTAAAAGTAATCAAATCAAACAAATTTTCCCAAAAAAATTTCTCAAAACTTGTAAACCAAAAAAGAAAAATGGTGGTTGCTTGCATTGCCCTTTTCCATGGACAAATCTGTGTCACAGCCTTACAGGTCATTGCAATTTGCAACAACAGCCAGTTGTTTGGTTCTCCTTTTGTAATTTCTGACAACGCCTTTTTAACATCTCTTCTACCACTTTTGTCCTCTTCTACCCTTTTGTGGATGAATCACATTTTTTTGTTTGTCATAAGATGAAAAATGGTAATTACTGTTTGAGTTTGGGGCAAATAACAGACGGTTGTGTTCAAAAAAATAAGGTAAATTTTAAACACATCTCTAAAGTTTATTTAAATTATAAATTTTTTTGTATGGTTCTAAAAATTATATTATGCCATCTAAGATTTTTAATTTTATAACAAATAAGTCATTTTATTAATAAATTATCAAATTAATTAACAGTTTTTAATAATGTTAAAATTTTATTGTAATTAATAATTTAGATAATTTTATTATTGTATAAGTGAACAGTTAGAAATTTCACTTTTCAATTAATTTTGTTAAATAAAAAATTCTAACATGGAAGTATTTGTAATTTTCCAAATTACAGGGAACAATTCGTATTTTAAGCAAACCTCAAGAGGTGTATTTGTAATTTACCCAAAAAATAATTATAAATAAGTGATAAATATTAATAATTATAATTATAATAATTTTAGTAATTTTGTAATAATTTTTAAAAACTATTCTTGAATGGTAATTTCTTCTTTAAATTTTGGTTATTAATTTTAAAATATGTGTAAAAGTATATTAATGTATTTAAAATATATATTAAAACATTAAATTTATAATATTAATTGATTTTTAATGAGCAAACTCATGTAATATAATGTTTTTAAAAAGAATTTACAAAATTTTATCCCTTCACACTATCACACTTATGTTATTCTACTCATAAACGGTTAATTTTAACAATTAACCCCTTGCACTATTGACATTAATTCCCTTCATCTTTGAATCAAAAAAAAAAAATTCCCTTCATCGAAATTGTTAACGAAACTAATTTTGTTGCAATATTAAATTTGCCAGTACACAAAAGGAATTTGTGCACATGATTTGTTTAACTTAGTTGTATCCAGAGGTGATAATTTGTTACCATCTCCCTTCTCATGCCAAAATTTTTTTTTTCCACAAATTAAAAGTACTTAAAGAAAATTGTTTGCCTGACACAGAAAATGAAAACTTTAAAATAATGTATTCTCGTGCTGGACAAACAATTAAAAATACTTAAAGAAAATTGGTAAACTAAAATTTAAAAATTTCAGTACAAGAATATATTATTTTTAATTTCTCATTTTTCGTGCTAGACAAATAATTTGGGGTAGAGAAAGTATAATTTACAGTATTTTATGTTTATTGAATATTTTCAAAATAATTTGTTATGTTTTGTTGTGTTGTGTGATATTTGAATATTTGTCTCTTTAGTGGGTCAAAGTTAACTAATATTCTCCATTAATCACGTTGGTGGTGACAGGAAATAAATGTAATATTCCGTTAAAAATAATGACCTCAATAATAATTTTTGGTTATATCAATAATTTAAAAGGATAATTATTTAAATTAACAGTTGATAGGTAAAGTAACACAAGCTTCATAATTTGAGGAAACAAATTGAATTTTTCTAAATTTAAAATATACAGATTAGATTTATTATGTGATATAAATAATAAATTCTAATTCTTCACACTTGTAAAGGGGTTTTTTTTTATTCTTCATATTTTTAAAGGGGTTTTTTTTTTTTTTTTGAGCATATAGTATTTGTTGTTGATTATTTCTCTCTTTCTTTCGCTCACACAAACATCTAGCTTTTGTTTTCCTTTTTTGTAAATGAAAAGTGAATTACAATCACAATAATTTGAAGGAAAAAAAAAAAGAAATTAAAGTAGGAGAGAGAAACCCCAATAAATACTCGACATGCCGTTAGATTCGAACAACTAATCATCTAATAAAATCTAAGAGTTTTAGTCAAACAGAATAACTGATTGGCTAATCAAAACAAAAGATTGTTTAGCAAATAATGGTGTAAATAATAACCTTTCCCATGTATATGTTCTTTTTGCAAGTGAGCATGGTATAATACAGTTCAATAGATTTTTTTTGTAGAAAGGAATGCCACATTGCAGAAGAGTTTGAGACAATGACTGAACCAACTCACCAACCAAAGTAATTTCCTTTTAAGCTCTTGTATCTATCATAATTTGGTGGGCTTAACTTTTAGCTGAAGACCCTTTGGATCCATTCAACCTCTCAATAATAGAACCTTTGTTCCTTTGTTTAATGTTTAACCAGACTTTTTTAGTAATTTTTTTTTATTTTTTGGTTAAATTGTGATGTAAAAAGAATTAGTATGTTTGGGATAACTTTTTAGCTTTTTACAAAAATATGTGCAAAAAGTAGAGAGAAAATGGAATTTTTGACTTTTTAGTATGGGTTGTTGGTTTTTTAGTTTTTTAGTAAATTTTTAACTAAAAAAGTTACTTGCCAAACGAGGCCTTATGCCCTATTAAAAGAGGTAGTTTTCTATTTTTTATTTTTGGTTTAAAAAAAAGTAAGAACGCAATGGTGAATGGGTTGCTGCAATGGTGCTGCAGGAGTAGAAGGTAAATTAGAAGGCAATGAAGCTGTAGAACTTGATGAATTAGAAGGTAATGAGGGTATTTTTGACATTTCATAATTTATAATGAGTGACATCAGCACTCTCTGTTAGATCTTTTAACCGCAGTCACGGTTTGGGGGAATCTTGACATTGTCAGGTAAAGTAGGGGAGGTTACTGTAATTATTCAAACTACAGGAGAGGTCCCTATATTTGTCAGAAACCTTAGGGGAGGTAAATGTAATTTACCCTTAAATTAAAGGAGAAATAACAATTCAGTGTTAGTTTAAAAAAAAAATCAAATCAAATCAAATCAGTAGTAAAATTTATAAATTTTAATAATTCAAGTGTTAAATATTTTCATCAATTTGTAATTATTTTAAAAGTTGCCACTGATGTATAATTTTCCCTAAATTAAAAGGGAGTAGTTGATGCCTACGAAGAGAGTGAAACATGTATCTATTTGCCAAGAGCATGTGACTAGAATCTATTCCTATTACTAACATTGAACAGGTTTAGACAATTTCCCCCAATACAGGAATGTTTTTTTAAATGTTCTCTACTTACACATTTATTATTAAGAAATGTGTGTTTACATACAAAAAATTTAAAATAATTGTATTTTTAAAAAAATTTAAGTGAGTCTACAAGTGAAAGTTATAATATGAAACACTTGCTCTGACTTATACCTCCATACAAATATAATTAATTTGTCTCACCTAAATACCATTTTTCCTTTATTCTTTGCATATTTGATAATGCAAAATGCTTATTTTAAAGAGAGAATTTAAATGAAAATAAATTAGAGAAATTAATTGCAGATTAATAGAGTAATAATAAAACATTTTTTAGCGTAAGCAAGTGGTCTGCTTCGAGACACATTTTTTTTTTGGTAAGTAAGAACGGGACACAATTCTCATATAACGCATTTACTAATTTGCAATTAAATTTTTTTATTCCCCATTTATCCAATATTTTTCTTATTTAAAAATAAATACTCAATCGGAAAATACTTCTTTTATAATCTTTATGTAAATCTTTTACTAAAATATAAGTCAAAAATTAACATAGGAGTTATTGTGAACGAACGAATTTTTCTCCAGTAGGAGAAAAGCATTCACTTTGTTTGATTCTAATTTTCAAAAAATGCTTTTTAGAAAATTTATTTTTTTATTTTCCGTATTTTAATATTTTCAATGATTTTTTTAATATTTTCAGCAATTTTTAAAATTTTTAAACACCTCTAACATAATTACACGTAAAAAACATAATTTTCGTGAATTTTTTTTTAAAAAATACACTAAATACAAAAAAAAAAATTTAAAAATTCAATACAATTTTCGTATTTTTGTATATTTATTAATTTTTTAAAATATTTTTTCACAAATATTTTACTATTTAGCTACATCTAAGTAAGTGCATCAAAAAAAAAAAAAATAAAAAAAGAACTTTTTAAAATTTAAAAAATATTCACTAATTAAATTTTAAAAACTAAAACCAAACACACTGATTGTATTGTGCAGTCAATTTGCCAGCTCTTCATGTTGTCACTTTTAATAATCCGATTCATTTGCCAGCTCTTCATGTTGTCATTCTTAATAATTTCGAGCATTTATTAGTTAGATGTGTGTAGATTATTTATTAGAAAAAAAAATTTAAATCAGTCAAATAATCGTAATCACATATTAAATCATATTTTTTCCTCAAAAAATAAATGGCGAGTATAATTTAGAGAATATACTATTAATTTCTTCAAAAACAAATATAATGAAATCACAATTATAATTATTTTTCATGAATGATTTATACACATAAAACCTAAAAATAAATTGATTAGATCATCAACAATATGACACCAACAAATTATTGAATTGCACTGTTTGGAGATAAACTAGTTCCAATTTTGAAATAGACATCTTGGTTCAGATTCATTCAACTAAAAAATAAATAAATAAATAAAGTCTTCACAAAAATAATATGCGGCCGAATTTTTATAAATAAATTTTGATAAATTCTTATTTTAACGTGATAGTCACACAGCTCACTCACCTCATTATCTATAAATTTCCTATTAGGTATAATTGTATTTGTCAAAGAAGTGTTAACCAATGGAACAGTTGACCAACCCTTCCCAACCCCATCATCAACCCTTTTTCCACCACTCATCAGCTTGAATTGCAAAATCTAAAGTGTCTCGAGTTCAAATTGGTTGCTAATTTCAAGCATATGACCTACAATTTTAAGTGATATTAATAAACTAATTGTTAATATATGTCTATAT